TGACTTTAATAACATTTCTTACTTAATGGAAACACCGCAGTTGTGAAACTGTGTTTTTTCAACATTAACAGAATACTGACAAAGTTTTGCGCATATTTGCAATGGAAACGCAGCTACAGTTAACACAGCAGCTGTTTATAAAAATAAAACTCATATGTTGGAATGGAAAAAATGTTTCAGTTGTTTTATCTTATTTTATTTTTATTTTGCTCTGAACCCAGACAGGTTTCCTACAGCTTTAATTAAATTTAAGACTTGATATGAAATTTAAGACCAACTTCACAATAAACACAAACGGGAAAAATATATATTACACAAATATTTTAACACAAAACAACCAGTGAAGAAAGGCATTCTGTAAATTATTTAGAAAGATAAATGTTGCTAATTATTTTAATATTAGAGTTGAATTACAATCCTCCTAATTCCACTGTCAACATTTAAGACGTGATTGATTTTAGACATTTTAAGGTTAATTAAGGTCTTATTTTGAAGGATCTGCAGGAAACCTGCAAGTGTTGTAGAAAGTACCTCAAAGTGATACTTGAGTAAAAGTATATTATCATAACATTACTTTGATAATAGTTATAAGAATAATACTTAGAATAAAACTTTAAAAGCCAAAGTATCTGATTTATTTTGTACTTAATTATCAAAAGTTAATTTCTGACAAAAAAGTACTTCAAAGTAAATGTATTAAATAAAAATGAGTAATTTTTCAAAAATTACATTTACTGGGAGGTGACCTCTCCAAAAAAATCATTTTTTAAGGGGTGCAGCTGTGATGGATTGAGTACAATCTAAAACTGTATCAGAATGGTGTATATTTATACATCTACAATTTACGATGGGTACAGAATTCCATACTTTAAGTACCGACCAAATTCTGTCGGTACTACTGAGAACCTATTCACGTAACATCAAACGGTACCATGTTTCGGTACCTAAACGCATCATTGCGACCGTATTGGCGTAAGAGTGGTGAGTTTTCCATGCTTGTCCTGAACGCAGCATTGCGACCGTATTGGCGTAAGAGTGGTGAGTTTTCCATGCTTGTCCTGAATGCAGCATCACGTAAGAGCGTAATGACGTCAGCAGCCTCTGGCTCAGTAACAGAGTGAACGTAGCATGAAAGCCTCGCAGCTCCTGCAGTAAAACTCACCGAGCAGATCTCCTCTGAATTATCTGCTGGATTAATTATCTGCTGGATTAATTATCTGCTGGATTAATTATCTGCTGGATTAATTATCTGCTGGATTAATTATCTTGTGAACACGACGTTCGCTTGCTCAAAGTAAATAAAGTATCACCACTTTCTTTGTTTCATCCGTCATTAAACGGAAAGCGGCAGAGAAAAACAACAGAGGAGCTTCCTGACACACGTCTGACCTAAAGAGCACAAGCAGCTAACTTGAAGTTTTTTCAGCGTTTTGGATGTTCAAAACGTAGCTTGAATACCTTTTATTTATTTTAACTCCATCCTCGTTTGTTTATTTGATTTAAACATATTTGCCTTCCATGGACCTCCATCACACAATTTTTTCTAGCGGGGAATGACATCAATAGAAATAAGTGGAGCTGGATTTTAATTTGTACAATAAGACAAAACAGTCTTGTTGTTTTCAACAGTTTTCACCATAAAGAAAAAAGTTACACAACTGATGTTACAATACAAAGAATTGGATTTTGTCTTGATATTTGTTCATTTTATATACTGAGAAATATGTTAAATTAAAAAAAAGTTTAGTTTTAAAAAAAACAACAACACCGAAAGTACTGAAAATTGGTACTGTTAAGTACCGGTACCCAGGTTCTGGATATTGGTACTGAATCGATTCAAATGTCAAAGGTAGGTACCCATCCCTACCCACAATAAATTCATTCTATCCAGGATAGTATTTTTAACAAATGAAACAGGAGTAAAAACTTTCTACTTCTTACTTTGTAAAAATAACCGTGTTTCCATCAAGGCTTTTTGATGCGCATTTAGAAGTGCCGCATTAAAAATGTGAAGGAACAGCAAAATTCGAAAAAAAAAATCTTCAATTTCGCTAAAAAGTTTTTACGCTCGCTTGAGGTGGTTTTTGGATGATTCGCAAAGTAGTTAATGTGCAAAACGGGAGATGGAAACACGTTTGCCGAAGAAATTCTGACGTAGCGCATATTTACTTCACGTGACGTGCAGCTGTTTACGCTTTCCTGCCTCGTCCCGGATGTAAGCCCTGCGTAGCTGCACGTGCCTTTCTGCTGCGTAGTTTAACATTGCTTTTATTTCTCTACGTCTCCTGGCAGTGTTAAACATAGCCTGTACTAGCTGAATAGATAGAATAATTACAACTTGCCCAATAGCAAGGCATTCACGAAAAAATCGTACCATTGTCCCGAGATGATTAGCTTCTTCTAGTTAGCAAGTTTCACTTCCTGTTTACTACCGCAAAGCTTGTCGCCAACGTCTGATATAATCATGCGTTGCGTAGCCTCGTCTGACGTAATCATGCGTTGCGTAGCCTCATCTGACATAATCACGCGTTGCGTAGCCTCGTCTGACGTAATCACTCGTTGCGTAGCCTCGTCTGACGTAATCACTCGTTGCGTAGCCTCGTCTGACGTAATCACTCTTTGCG